TTCTTCTTCATGACATTTTATAAATAGCAAGATTTTTTTTATGCGTCCGATGGTTCTAGTCGGTTGACTGAGCTTTGTGACGAACCATTGGTTATATGCGGAAAGTCCGAGCGTGGCCGCAGGCCCAGCTAGAGCTCGATTACATGTACTAGTATATAACGTGTTAAACTGAAAACACGTTAATATCGATGAAAAAATATAAATTTGTTCACTGATTTTAATGTGTTTTCAATTTAACTTATTAGACATTATATGTCTAATTGTAACAAGTTTCAGTATAATCCTTAGTAAGTTGCATGCAGCCATTTTGAAAACAAAACTGGTTCTATATTTGAGTTATACATGTAATTAGATCACAGGACGCTTTTGTAAACCCTTCATAGCATCTTAATTTCATGTAAAATTATTTCTGTTTTTAATATATTGTTTTTTTTCTAAGGATTCAGACCTAAAAATCGTTGTTGACCAGACAACGCACAATGCTGTAAATATGTTAACATCATATTGCAAGCATTGTTTATTGTAAGGCATGTAACTGTGTGATGTGTCGCCAATAACATCTTAATTAAATTCCACATACAACTTGTGGTTGGCTAGAATGAGTAATTTTCTTAGGTGTCCTTTAAGGTATATATCTGACATATGTTGTCAATATTTCAGTTCCTAATAGTGCCCGTTAGGATGGTCATACCTTAAATCCAACAACAATTAAAATGGTTAATGGTAAAAACACGAAATTATACCACGAGTTTTCACCATCGTGATTTCGTTATTTCGACCATCGTAATTTTGACTTTTCGTCATTGTGTCTTCGACTTTTCACCATCATGGTTCCATAATTTTGACTTTTCACCATTTTCGTTGTTTCGAGTTATGTGTATGTCGCAATGGACCTAACGGGTCACCGTACATACGCGGTAAGTGTCACGAAGATACGTCATGGAGATACAGTTATTTTGGTACATTGAATTCAATTTAATATGATATTAAAGTTAAAATAGGAATAATTTAATAATACGTGAGTGCTGACAATAAAAGCCTTTTTTATATGGATATACATTTAATTATTAGAAACTAATAAAATTAGAAAATAATTTTCTTCCGGAAAGATATCGTCATTTAGATAATCTATCTATTTTCCAAGTTTCACATGGACAATGTCTCTTTTATATTCTCTAGAATTAAAAAAATGTTTGTAAGAATAGAATGGTGAATCAAATTCGAACAATGCAACATCATTTACAGATTTAGTGTCTTATATTAAGTTTTAATCGATCGCAACTTTTCGTCCTTTTCCGCCAAACTTCGGATTATTTGTAATCGGCGAGGAGTTCCGTATGATGTTACATTTGTTTTTGGTAGTCGCAGAGACCGCCGGAATACATACAAACAAGTTAGTCTGCATGTCACTACAGTTTGACATCAAAATCAATTCAAATATTTCAGATTTCTAATCTTGGCAGGTCTGTTACATAATAAAAAGAAAGAAAAGAAAGGAAGAAAGGATTATTATTAGAAAAAACAGAAGCTAATCTCTTGAAAGAAAGAAAGAAAGAAAGAAAGAAAGAAAGAAAGAAAGAAAGAAAAAATGAATGATAGAACGAACGAACGAACGAAAGAAAGAAAGAAAGAACAGTTTTCTTCTTTTTCCTGGAAAAATCCTATCATTTTAAAGAAGAAAAATATCTTGATTTTTTATAATTTTATATCAACTTACTCATTTTGATAGAGAAATCCTTTACAAATGTATTAATTACCCAACATTAACACAAATTTGAAATAAAAATCTAAGGAATTTTATAAGAATCTTCATTTACGAAATTATGACACACATTTGAATTTTTAATACCACACTCAACATAATGTGTTGAGCCTGCCAAGAAGTTTGGTAAAAAAAAGCAAACGTTTCGTTAAATTTGAACAAACTATATGCGTTTCTGTGAACGTTTCGTGCATACCAGATACTTTGTATTCTATTTCTTCGAATATTATTACTTCTTTTTTTTATTTTACTTGCCAGACCATCACTCTTTTGCAACCCGTGCTGAGAGCTTTTTGCCAAATTTTGTTTGTTAATTAACATCAGAAACGGGGGGGGGGGGGTGTTTTTAAAATTATATTTCATGTTATTGTTTTGCTTTTATCTAATATTTTTAATCTTTCTTTAAGCTATTTCAGTAAAGTCTTTGATATTATAGGACCCGCCGTAGACTTGGTCGTCGTAGTCGGAAGTGGCGCAGAGGCAGGGCTCAAACGGGGCCCTCCGTTCAACACTGCGACCTGTCCACTAAGGCGAGAGGGCGGGAAAACAAGTTATATAATAATTATATATTAAAGCATTATCATATTAAGAAAAGAACATTATGACAAAACACGTCACTACAGAATACTATAATGTTAGTGTCTGTGACAGGAACTTGGCTAATAGCTGATCTAATTACTGTGATATTTCTAACTATGTGAAATGAACAGTTTGAAATTACCGAGAAGTTTATTCCCCCGTTGGTGTCGTATGGTTTTATCAATTATTTACGAATATTTCGAGTTTTTAAAACTAATATAAAATTTAGTGAACGCTAATTGATTCGTTCACAGACTTGATAAATAAATTGAAGTCAGATGGTTTTAATTAAGAACCGACCAGTGCCTGGAATAATGCATAAAGGTATAAGGCCAATAATGGAACGTTAAACGTTTGTTGGTTATTTGCTGCAATAACGCTCACAAGTACATATCAAACATGTTGCTTCTATGTGACATTTCAGATTTTATGTGACATTTTCCTGGAACAGTTTGCTTATTTTATAGCTTGCTTTACATTTTTGAATAATTAATTTAGTTTACTAAAACATTGTTTTAAAATTAATGGCTCCGACTCTATATCTGTAGAAAAAAATTTCATTTCGAAAATGGCTTGCATACAAGAACTAAAATGACATCTATAGACAATGCACTACGGCGTTTCCAGAAAAAATGGTCATAAACCATTGTAACGGTCATTTATGAAATTTTTTCTTGTTCACAAAGAAATTCATCGGCCTTGAACGGAAACACATCGGTGTCTACAACAGACTTCAATCTATAGAAAAACAGTATATTGTTCACGTGTACTTGACTCATGTTGGCGTCACATTGGCGTCACACTGAAGTACTGTTTGAAAGACACACTATTTACATGATTCCTTTTCAGTACCTTTGATATAACATCAATAAAAACAGAATAGTGTGTACAAAACAAGAAGCGTTTTCCAACCATAAGCTTTGTAAAAATATAATGCGGTAAACAATTTTCTTTATTTCTTAATAGCGAGTAAATAAAGAAAAACAAGCAATTATCATAGTATTGCAAGCAATCCATAAGTCCCCTACCGGTTAGAACCCCATCAACATTCTGAAGGGCCATTGGCCATTCACTAATGTTTCAATTTTTCTCTATTTTAAGTAAACTTGTTGGAAAAGTTCTTAAAAGTGATCACAGGAAACAGTTTTTATGAACAGACGGACAGACGGACTGAAGGACACTCTAAAGTTAATATTTGAAACATCCCTATTACCAAAATATAACATTTTAACAGCAAAATTCTTAAAGAGGGGATAACTCTTGAATTAAAGATGCAATTTCATAAAAAATTTCAGCTCTTTTTGAATAATCACAAATATTGTTATATTTGCCATGTTTTAAGCCTATTTGTTGCCATTTTTTCAAAATAGGAAGAACAGATAAGACATGCATAATCTCAAGACTGCTATCTACCCATATGTCAAGTTTCATAAAAATATTTCCAGTACTTTTTGAGTTATCACTGGATTCAGTTTATGTGTAAAATTTGCCATATTTTCAGTCTATGTGTTGCCATAGCAACCAGAATTCTCAACATAGGAAGAAAAGAAAAAGACGTAAGAAAAAGACGTGCATAATCTCAAGACTGCCATCTACCCATATGTCAAGTTTCATAAAAATATTTCCAGTACTTTTTGCTTTATCACTGGATCCAGTTTATGTGTAAAATTTGCCATATTTTCAGCTTATTTGTTGCCATAGCAACCAGAATTTTCAACAGAGGAAGAAAAGAAAAAGACGTGCATAATCCCAAGACTGCCATCTACCCATATGTCAAGTTTCATAAAAATATTTCCAGTACTTTTTGCGTTATCACTGGATCCAGTTTATGTGTAAAATTTGCCATATTTTCAGCCTATTTGTTGCCATAGCAACCAGAATTTTCAACATAGGAAGAAAAGAAAAAGACGTGCATAATCTCCATACTGCCATCTATCCATATACCAAGTTTCATAAAAATATTTTCAGTACTTTCCAAGTTATCGCGGAATCCAGTTTTGTGGACGGACGGACTGATAGACAGACAGACGGACGGACAGACGGACGGAGGGTAAACCTAAAGTCCCCTCCGGTAAACCGGTAGGGGACTAAAAAACACCCGTATGAAGTATAGGCGTTTTAGTAAATATTAGAAACAGCCAGGGAAAAAACTTATAAAATACACGGTTTAAGTCCGCTATATGAGAAAAATAGCTTGTCGACCTACATAATGAATACCAATTTCTCTTAAAAATTCTTGATCGTAACTGAGAAAATAGCTGCAAATTACAGTAAAGTATGTAATATAATGGCCATTATTGCCAGCCGACCTTTTGTAACACATACAAATGTTATAACAACTTGTATTTTATCCTAACACGATCCTGCCATCCGTAATATTGCCCTATGTCCATAAATATAAATATAAATATAACCTATGGTTTAGTCTAAATGAATAAATTACTCCAAAAAGATATTCTTAACGTAACCATGTTCTGTTTCAATGAAATTCAGTTTAGCATAGAATAATATTATAGACGGACAAAACGTACAGGATCTGGAAATTCAACATAGGCCTGCATTTAAGTCAATTCTATATCTTATAAAGTATAAACTTTATGAATACTATAATCATTAAAATTATCTAAACTTATTAAGTATAAAGTTTAATAAAGTGTACCTTTGAGTCCATCTTTTGATGATAATTCCTTAATAGTCAAAGCGACTTTGAGAATATCCGAATTATTGAAATAGATTAACACCAGTAAATTTACAGACTTCTAGTGATATTTATTGCTTGGGTTTTTTTAAAATATCCTGTTTTAATTAAAACTAAATTCCGAAAAAACTATTTAAAAAAAGAAAAAAGAACGAGTGTTCTATTTGATGTTGATGACAAGAAAGCGGCGGTATGAACATATAGAACATTGTGTTGTTTGTGTGTTTGTTAATCAATACATGGATAAATTAACTGAGGTGACAGCTGTTGGAAATATATACATGTATATATAGCTTTCATACATATTCATTAATCATCTGAATTGTGTCTTATTTACAAGTGTATAACATGATTTATTTCAAAACCAAAAGGTCAGATATGATTTCTCGACAGTACAGTAACAGATGAAAATAGTAAACACTTTTTAAGTTGAATGGCATTTCATTAGGTCATTGCCAAGCACTTGGGTTTTAAAAATATCGCGTTTCTCGCTAAGGGTTTCTATTTACTTATATATACTACTTTATGAAGTTCTGGACAATTTACTTGTGTCAAAGGCAAGTAAATCTAAAAAATTCTTACCAACAGTGTCTTACTTAAATAAAATAACATACAAACTATGTATTGGAATTAGTGGTGGTTCTTTCTTTAAAAACAGTTTTTAACGACATATATACTATACATTCATATTGTGTGACCTACTATAGTGTTAAGAGTTTCAAACACAATATATTTTCTTCGTCTGATGTCAAAACATGTTTATTTTATATTTACAAAGAGACTGTGTAGCAATTTTCAGTATTTTCATATATAAAATTTTAGCATACTAATATTTTTAACTGATGATATCTTTAAGAATCGATATTGAATTTTATTATGAGTAAATTTTCTTTTGTTATTATTATTTGCTTGCTTTTCGGTTTCAAGTTCAAGTTGATCTGTGTAAGAATTTCAAATTTTACGTTTTTGGACCTCATAATCAGTTGTGCTCCTTTCCCAAAAATGCTTTCCGGGGGTCTGCATCATTAATAAAAGAACACATCTAGTGATCACAAACATAACGCCTCAATATTGCATTTTTTTTCTATAATATACTGTAGACACACATACAGAGTGGAGAGCAGCAATTTATTGATATACACTCTCAGAAAATAAGTACATGTAATTAAGTTAAGCGTCACGCTGTCATTGACATCATAAACGACATTATACTTGACGTACCTATGTCACGAACATTCTTAAATTTACCTAGTATAGTTACCTCCCCTGTGGTTCTGTTCACCAACTCATTTAACATTCCTATCCTAGTTTTCTGTCATTTAAGATGGCCGACATATAAAAATAAGGGAAATAATTCGTTTAGATATCTTTCAAGTTACAAAAGAGTTATGGTTCTTGAATTAAGGTATTTTATACAGTGTAGGCCCATTATGTCTCGGAAATGCTATCAATTTTAACGCTCAAAATATTTTTTTTTTTTTGGTATCTTGTCAGACATACTCTTTAGCCACATACATCAATTATCTTTTGATTCTTTCGCTCTGTTGGCAATTGGTATGAATTTAGTAAATTAGTATTTTACAAGTAAGGAACTACATTTGTACTTTGTTTACACTTTGCGCTACTTTTACGACACATTACTACACGTTCAGTCATATTGTTTCATGTTTAAACATCTAAAGTGTTCTAAATCCAATATTGAAACATAATCAAACATATATGTTTTGACATTTCTGAAGAACTAAAAAGATGTGGATTTCTGAGGCATAATGTTCACCTAATAGCATTTGGGAGATATAGACATCTGCATGGGAAGGAAGGAAACTATTTGTATGAATTTCGTGGAGCTTAGAAACAGTTGTAGATGTAAAATAGGCACCATGGCGAGAAATGATTCTTGTCTAAACGAGCATCTATGACATGCACAACAGTCATGCTTTTTATCTTATCACTTAATCGTTACGAACCGGTTGTCTTCGTGACTTTCCGTCATCGTATCGGCAAGGTAACAAGAAGGTATGTTTTTCTATGTAGTATCAGTACTTATTTACAAACTTATTCACAAAATCACAAAATGCAGCAAAATGCATTAATCACAAACTTGTGTTTTTTCCCGATCAATCCGGCTTTATAGACGAAAAATAACGAGTTTTCACGAGCGAAAAAAATTACTTTACCTTATTTACACGCTATTTGTCAAGTGTCATGATTTGAATTATAAAAGTATGTCACATCTGAGTATGAATGATGGAACTATTTGTAAAGTAACTTGAGGGTCTGACAAAATAAATTTCATACTACATCTCATTCCACAAAATACATCATTATCATAGTTCTGTAATGATTCTTTTTAGGTATACAAAGTTTATTGTAAAATAAAACAAAAGATTGTTTTAGCTTTAAACACCAGTAAAGTCGAGGAGTCAAGTCGAGTCTGCGGTAAGGACCCAGTTGAACAAATCACAGTCTCTAGCCTACAAATCCTAAAAAATTAAAGCCAGTCTCTCATTGCAAATCATTTCTATTGACAGATAGCCTAGTTGTGTTATTTTGTACTAATCCCCCCCCCCCCGATCACATTTGCATTTTTACTTGATTCTTACTAAGTGCTAGTAATGGTTATGTACCGAACAATGTTGTCATTGTGTGGTCCCTATTACTGATATTTTCGATTCAAATCTAACACCAAGCAAGCATTGGAAGCTAAAATAAAGGTATAATTGCAAAACTATTCCTATACACAAAGCATGCGCTGTTTTATAACACTATATATTCCAATGTTCTTTATGAACATGACTTAAATGAGTAACACGCGTGCAAAAAATAACCAAATATTTTAGACATTTATGTCAGGTAACTGAAGATAAACATTTATGTACATGTACAAATGAAACAGCTGTTGCAAATTTCATGTCATAAAATATAAACGTTTTGGTCAAACTAACAATTTAACGTCAATCTTCTCTACACAAATATTGATTACACATATGTGTCATATAAAACAAAACAGATATATGTGTGATTCACTGCGAACAATAACAAAATAATATGAGACGCGTCACGACAAAACCAACATATAGTGCATTTGCAACCAGCATGGATCCAGACCAGCCTTCGCATCCGCGCAGTCTGATCAGGATCCATGCTGTTCGCTATAATTTTCTCTACTTGTAATAAGGTTTGTTTAAAGTCAACAGCATGGATCCTGATCGCAGGCTGGTCTGGATCCATGCTGGTCGCAAACGCATGACGTTGGTTTTGTCGTGACGCGGCTCATATCATCAATACATATTGTTTCTCACTCAATACTGAGACATATTATTTTATATTTAATCGACACGACTGATTTTGAGACTTTGGCCCACTATCAAATAGCAAATGCAAATAAAAAGAGAATGATTGTAGTACTGGAATAAGCCGAAGATGCTCCCGGATACCGCCATCTATTTTTCCGTGTGAAAACTGGAAAACGGATTTTTTCGGTTTTTCGCGTTGTGACCATCCTGAAAAACTGTCTCAATTAATTTGTCATTCTCCGCAACGGGAAACTTATTGCGAAAGATGAAATATCACACATTTATTATATACTTATAAATGAAATATTGAGAAATATTGATGAAATAAAATGCGTATTTTCATTTTCCGTATTTTCACTGTAAAAATTTATTTTTCACTGCAGTGAAACATATTTTCCGTATTTTCACTGGTGTCTTGCCGGACTACTTTTTTTAAATTCTGCCAGTACACAAAATTTAAGGGAAAGTCTTTCAAATTTTAATGTCAAAAAAGATAAAAATGTATATAATAAACAGAAAATTCAAGTTTTTTCTATAAATACATGATTTATTTTCATCTTGTGGCATGAAAATTACCATATTTCACTCGTGGCTACCGCCACTCATGAAATATTTATTTTCATACCACTCGATGAAAATAAATCATGTATTTATAGAAAAACTTGAATATCCTCTATATATTTATGTAGGTAAAGACATGTGTGTTCGATTCATAAGAACACGCCATCAATCAAGGTTAAAAATGCATAATGTATGCAAATCTAAAATTCAGCAAGTTAAGCATTTTATGTAGCTATGGGAATCAGAATTATTCTTCATTAAATGTTCTTTTAACTTACTCTTTGAAGTACATGTACATCATGACATTTCCCTTTGATCGTATTATGTTAAATAGCTTATCACTGATGTGTATGTTATTCATTAATCATTTTACTAGATGAATTTGTTCTATGATTATGATTAAGGACTTAATTAATATACAATTATACATGCGTTTGCTCTAAATCTTAAAATTAAAAAAAAATTAAAAAAAAAAAATAAATAAATAAATAAAAAAAAAAAAAAAAAAAAATCTTAAAAATTAAAAAAAAAAACAAAAAAAACAAAAAAAAAAAAAAAAAACAGCATTTTCGAACTTTAATATTGAAATCCGCTTATAACGATACTTCGGGCATGGGCGGTGGCTTGCACATGCGTCAGTCGTTGATGAGCTAGAAACTGAGCCTGAAACAGTTTCATTTGTGTCGTTTTTAGAGTTCTTTACGGTTTTCGTAACTTTCTATTTCATAAAAATTGCGTTATATAACATAAACAGCCAATAGATACACTGTTTTTTTTATATAATTATATAATCATTATGACGAGAAAAAAAATACAAGAAACGCTGCCTCAACAAGTGTTATTAGGTTACGACGTTTTTATTGAATATTTGATGAGCACTGTCGTGCAAACGCTGTTCTATTTCACATATTAGAGCGTTCATAACACAATTATCTCAAATTTAGCACATAATAATCTAATTATTTAGGTTTAAAACATTTTTCCATTTAGACTTTGGGAATATGAATACACCTAGCGAAGACACCTTTTTCAAAAACTTGGGTTTTCGTTGCAGTATTAAATAGCTTAGAGAAAAAGTGTTGCAAAATCTTATTGTGACAGCTTAGAGAAAGGCAGGACGTGAGGGCTAGGTTTGGGGAGGGGATCTTCGAAAAGAAAGTATTGTTATATCTGTTGTTTTCCGGCCGAAGGCCGTCTAAAATCAGTTTGAATTCCTGTAAAATTCAGACTGAAGATCTTTTGAAAGATACTTCTTGTTTCTGTTTGGTCCTAAGTCACATTCAACGCGACTCCTGCTAGCGGGCAATAATATGACTTTTCTGTATACTTGGTCAGA